AAGCTTATTGTCTTACTCTTGACACATAAATACTAGTCATAGAGGAGTTGCCAACGGAACAGTGTTTCCTTTAAAACTACTGCTCTTAATCAGGAAAAAAAGTTGCTTAGAAAGTATCTACATAAGACCTGCAAGTTATTAGTTTAGTTTCATATCCCAGGGGCACTGTGTATGGTGATCCACTTAGTAAAGTTCTGATTCAGGGGTTTTTATTAGTGTGAGTGATCTCGTTAACTCTAAATGACCTGGTGCCCATGTGAGCGCTGGAGAATACTGAATCAAGGCATGTATGTGTCAGGAGGATGTTCCAAGTGGATTGCTGAGCTGAATACTAGGCAAAGAAAAAAAATCTCACGATTCTTTTTAGAAGTTGTAAGTAGTGAAGAGCTGTGATTGCATCCAAATATTATGCAAATGTTAATAAAAATGCGTTGTGTCATTGACTTGAATGTTCTGGGAAGTTACTTCTTTGAAAAGCAGAGCAAAAATAGGTGGTGTTTGAGGAACTAGTACAGGAGTCCCAGCTGCTAACTGGGACTTGTGTCCTGGTTACACTATCCAGCTTTCCTAGCAGACTGTGTCCTGATTCCTTAACCTGGTCCCCCTGCCACGTGCCCTCAGGGAACGCTATCCTGATAACTGCAGAGCCTTTTCAAAGGCTCAAAAATATTTTTCTTTGCTACTGAAGGTTACTGGGTACCTTTTTGTTTCTGTTGTTTACAGATAGGGTCATTTTGCTTTGTAGAAATTTTCAAAAAAGACACGAGAGGACTTGCTGCTTCCAGACCAAAGTGAAATCTTTTCTGAGTGTCTTGGAAACGGTGGTGAATTTAAGCAAACAAAAGCTGTGGTACAGTTGCTTTTTGTATACACTGTCAGAAAACCTCTAAGTAGCTGGAATTTATCTACCAGATATGTGTATCTGTTCGAAGCATTAAAATAAACTAAGTACTAATATACTAGGAAAAAAACACATATGTTGGTTTTAGTTACATAGTGTTAGCTGGAAAAGTAATTTTTAGCAATCAAAGAAATGACAGTGAAAAACTTCAAATATGGAGGTTCAAGAGTCTTTCCCAAAAAGCCGAAGTAACAGACTGTTGGTCCCAGATTGTGGCCTGCACGAGAGGGAATTAGCTGCAGGAGCGCTGGATGAGGTGTCTGTGTAAGGCCTTGCTAGCTGTTCATATGGAGCAATTAAAGGGAAGAAAAAAGCTCCTACTTTTTAAAAACAAACAAAAAAAAACCCCACTCAAACCCCAAAATCAAACAAACAAAACAATATATGTTGATGTGTGAGGACTGCAGTGGAACTTGAGCATTTGCCTACTTTGAGCTCAAAAGGTTTCTTACCCGAGACGGTTTTTATCGGCTGAATTTATCTGAGAATTTCCTTCTTAATGTTGTCTTCCAGATTTTTGGAGATTTTTGTAAAAACCGAAATGATGAAAGGGGACTCTATGTGTTTGTAATTCTTGGAAAAAGAATTCTGGTGTAAAATTATTGCCCTAGAAATATTAATCTAAAAATGAATGCATGTCACATTGCTCCTCTTATGAGTGGAATCTGCTGCTGTTCCACCCTGTTTCCTGTAGTTTGTTTTTCTGCTTGAAATGGAAAACTTTGTCCTTGTTTTGGGAAGTACCGTGATGTAGTTAGTAACTAAAATTAATTTTATGTATTTCTGTAGACATTTGAAAGGGGCCTATAGTGCTGTGAGATGCAATTCAAACTGTGTTTTACAAGCCACACACTTGTGCTTTTTCTGGAGTGCTGAAATGGAGATGCTTGTAGGGTGTGGAACCGTGCTGGGAGTTAAGGATGCTGGGCAGGCTGCCGATTGTTTAGTGGACTTGACAAAGAAGGAAGAATCTTAACTCTTCTCATACCATGCATCTTGTTAACAGTTACAGGAAGGATTTGAGCTGTGAAGTATAACTATCTTCTCATATGTGGACATAGTTTTGGACCCATGGAGTGTTTGGAAATGTGGGTAGTTTAGCTCTTCTTAAAGACACTTCCAGTTATGTTTTGTTGCTTCCTTTGTGTTCAGGTCAAGGTCTTTTCCGTTGTTGTTAATATAGCACCTTAAAATAATATAGCACCTGGAGGTCATAATTGGTAGGAAGAGAATTTTTGTGCAAACGTGTCGCAAAAGCAGTAATGATGCTTTTTAAACGTGAGGGTTGCTTAGGATTGAGGAAACTTTGCTTTTCTTTAAACTGTTGGGAAAAAGCCACTTCTTTGCTATAGTAATGAGACTTTTTCCAGCATTATCCAAGGTCTAGTCTATGAGTAGTCTGTAGGATCTGTCACTAGTTTATCATTCCTTGTTAACAGGCATTAACATGCTGCTGTCTGCTCCCTGGCCTGCCTGCTTCCATACTCTCTACCATCGTTTTCTGGTGAAACTCCATGATGAGACCTGGTGTCGTCTTGCCCCAGCCACTAAAATGACCAGGTTATTGTGCCGTTTAGTGTGTAAGTGAGGAGTAGGGAATCCTTGAAACGCTGTGATGAGATGGCAATGGGCCAGAACTACAGCAGTAACTACTGACTCCCTCGAGAGGGGTTCGCTTTGGCTGGGTTGCATTCCTGAGCCCTTGTGTTCCAAGGGTGGGAGAGGAGAGGAGTAGTACAGCAAACTGCTCTAAGCAGAATTGCTTCACTGGTTTAAGAACATAATCGTCTTCCACTTGTAGTTTTCAGTGCAGTTCTTCAGCACGTCACTCTTGCTTTGGGCACTGCTGTGCTTGGCAGGCCACAGGTGGCCATGAAGAACTGGATTCCCCAGTAAGCAGTGATTCCTGCTTTACTCTGCCTGTGACATTACTGGGAAACAGAGACGTTGCCCTATAGATGTGTCCAGCGAAACACTGGTTTCCCAGTTGTAGCTGGAGTAGTTTCCCTTGCAGAATTTCAGAAATGGGGCACAGGCAGTTTTTCCTCCGAGGCAGGGATTTTTAACGAGTAACTCTTGATTGAGAGCTGTAATTTCGAGGTAGGCAGTTCGAGGCATCTTTAAGTAGCCTTATCCGAACGAAACACTGATCTTACAAACTCTGAAAATCTTGAGTCACTTGTCAGTTCCGCAAGTCACTGCCAGTGCCATTAATGCCGTTGTCGTTTGAGGTCTTCAGAACACGCAGAGCCTCAAATGCTGCTTTGGGTGTGCTCTTTGAAGGGTGAAGAGTAGAAATCAGGCTTCTGGCAGAAATTGATTCTTGATTTGTTAATTCAGTAGTTTCGTAATGGGAAGAACTTGCTAAAATTGGCCATACCTTGAACTTGAGTTTTTCTGCTAACGATGTTTGACTCCCATGGTGCTCTGCCAAGACATGTTTCAGTCTTCATGTGTCTAGAAGAGTGCTGTGATGTTAAGAATCTGTGACCTTGCCAGCTTCCCTCGAAGAGGCGGGATCTGTATCTTTTCTTTCTGAGCGCTGTCCCACGCCTGAATCGTGCTGTAAAGTGCTCACGAAACGGATTCTCAGTGTTTGCTCCCAGAGGCACTGCAGGCACTATGGGATGGCATGGAGCAGTTGGGGGTTGTGTTCAAATCAGCAGGACTCAAGCTACTCTTGGTACACTTTCCATCCTAAGTTTTTCTGATAATCTTTACTAGGAAATAATAGTCCTGCTGAGAAGATTTACTTATTGTGTAGCCTCAGTGTATGTGTCTGTGCCAACTGGAGAATAACTTTATTACTTAGGGCTTAACTTTATTGACATTTAGTTTCTCATTTTAAGTACGAATTTATCCTTGAGTACTAGAGCTGCACAGATTTTGTATATGGCAGAAAAGTTCGTTTGACTAGAGATGGATAAATTGTTTTCTTCCTCAGTTTGTTTTTATTGTTCTAAAGCCAGATGGATTTTTCACTTGGCTGAAGAATGCCAGACCTGCAATACTGCATTCTTTGCCCCTGTCTGCAGGCATGTAGTAAATATAGCACCTTTGGGTGAGGCCAGTCAGCTGAGAATGAATAATCATTTCATTCATCTGGCTTTTGTCATTAGTTTATACTTGAGATTTTTTTTTTTTTTAGTCTACGCATTGCAGAACCTTTTTCTGAAGCTCTTCAAATAGCTTTTTAGCAGCTCACTAGTATTGCCTGTGTGGAGAACAGTAGACAAAAATACCATTTTTTGGTAATGTTAGCTACTAGCAGGAAGACTTCTGCTCATATATTTTTTCGTAATAAGTGAGAAGATGAGTTAGCTTGTTTGTCATTAATTCAGGTGGATGTTAATTCGGATTTTGGCACTACAACAATTGCAGTATGCTTTACTTGGAAGCATTTCTACTATGGATGTGTTGGACTCCACTGGGAGGATGGCTGTGGCTGTTGGGTGTGTTGCTACCCTGGTAGGAATAGGTGACTGCAGGCAGTTGCATCCTTAACTGTGAGCAATCTAGACCTGATTTCAGCTGATGTGTCTAACTGGCTGCCCTCCTTTTTAATCTTTTCTTTGTTCATTCTCTCCCCAGTGGAATCCAACAGTGTTTGACTTATTAATGCCTAGGACTTTCTTTGAAGTCTTGTATGTCATCAGGTACAACATACTGAGCTAAATAACAGAGTCAGCTTTGTGAGCTTTGGCCTTTTCGTAGGCAATCTAAAAAGTGTAGTCTGAGAGCAAACTTCCAGGCTGTTCCTATGCCCCAACAAACTTAAGAGTCTTTATAAAAGTCAAAGAATTTGACATTTAACCTCTTTTCCTGGTTTCCTATCATATAATGACACATAACAAGCCCAAGGGCTATAGAACACAGGAACTTACTATCTTCACCTAACAAGACACCGTTAGCATTTACAGCCAGTACTCTTTTAACTGTGCTTTCGAACGATGCCTTGGTAGCCAGTGATCTTGTCTAGATGTAGGATTTTGTATATTAGTATAAGGTATAAAACTTAAAATACTTTTCTTAATGCTGATATTTGCTTTCCTTTGCAGAATAAGAGAACGCATAGAGTCTGGGGGGACGAGAGCCCGGGACGATGCTGCTGAAAGGAATCTGAGCCACAGAGCATGCTTTGTGCCACACTTACCCAGGTATGCTCCAGCAGAGTCCTGTGCACGCCTCTAATGAACTGCACTTTGTTGTGCTGGTTGCTCCGTTGCTTATCATCCTGAGCCAAGGAGACTGTCTCACCCCAGACCAAAATTATACTCTTCTTTCATCATTCCATCTGGATGGCACTTGCAGCCTGAAACCTTCTAAAGCTTTTTATGTGTGTTTTAGTTTTAATTTTATCCGATTGCTCAGTTTCAGCCGGTCTCTTTTTAGATGTTACACTGGTTTATATCATGAGATAGGCTGAACATTTTAGTGTATGACTTCAGAAGTCTTTTTTTTTTTTATGTGCAGAAAAGATGTGGTCTCAATAAATGAGGTGCTGAACTACGTATCTGGAAGCAGTTTTGAGACTTGCTCCAGACTGTTAGAAACTGCTCCAGTTGACTCACCTGCAGATAATCTGCTGGTTTTCAGAAGTCAAAAGCAGATGGGTAGACGCATCCATCATTGCTTTGCACACCAGTGTCTAATGAACCAATGCAATTTTTTCAGGATGTTTTGATAGGAAATGTAAAACGTTCTGGTGTTTCTTCCTCCACTCCCCCAAAAAGATTTTTGGGATGAATATTTAAAATCTTCATTTAAGTGCAGTTCAGTTCTGTGCTAATTAAATGCTTATGCTAAATATGTTGAGGAGGTTAAGATCTGCCTTACACGATGGAGACTAGGATCTTGCAAAAGCAATTTCATGACTTGGGAGCCATCACAGCCCAACAGCACTAGCTGTCTTACAGCTCTGAAAAACAAAGAAAGAAAGAAATCATATGATTGTGAAGTGTTTCTGTGGAATAGAAGCTAAGTTTTCTACTAGCACCAGCTGGCAAGTGGGAGTAGAGAAACAAAGCAAACAAACAGGAGAGAACAGTAGGAGGAACAATGGCGATAGTCTAAAAATTGACATGTTGGGAGACCAGCGTGAAGAATAACAAACTCGTATCACAGGATGTTTTGCATAGCAACAGGACTCTTGTCTTCAAGTGGACTTTAGTGTAACTGCAGCACTTGCTTCCTGTATGAGACAGCGAGCTGTTGTACTCTGAATGCGTTTTAATCTCTATATCTAAATTGGACTAATAATTTAAAAGAATTAGCTGAAGGAAACGATAGTGAAGTCTATTGCTCCTGAAAGTGTTTCCTCTTATTTTGTTGTCAGAGAAGTGAGAACAGAAACATGCATAAAGGAAACAGATTAAAGATGCACTTTTTCACCAGGTGCTGAAAGCTGTCTTCAAACTACTTTGTCGATGAAGGAAGAAATTGATTGGAAATTGAAAGCGCGAACTAGTTCCTAATACTGTTCAACATGCGCAAAGGGATGCCAAAGGACCCAGAAATAGCTGACCTGTTCTACAAAGATGATCCTGAAGAAATATTTGTGGGTTTACATGAAATTGGACATGGAAGTTTTGGAGCAGTTTACTTTGTAAGTATAGTTCTTTACCTCCTTTTTGGAAAACAGAACCATTTTAAATGACATTTTAGAGCTTTTCAGTATTTGTAAAAGGGAGCTTCCTTTGAGCTCTTAGAGCTCTGTGTGTATTGGCTTTCTCATAACACATCTCAAAAATAAGTGTTTCCAGAGCACTTCTGAGCTCTTTACTGTTACAGCTGTATTCATAGTAGCGGTTGACTATAGTCTTAATAGTGCACCCAGCCACTCAGCTGAAGTATGTGGTATCTTGTGCTGTCTGGTGCTGAAAGTTGAATTTAAGCAGTTGGAAATTAATTTGCCAAACTGGAATTTCAAGATACTCTACTTGGTGCTCATATGCTTGTAAATCTTTTCAAATTAATAGATCTAGCGTATCTCCAAATGCATTTGGAGTTAAAAGCTACTTTTGTTAATGAATTGGTATTGTGGCTGCTTGGGTAGAGATACTGTGGAAGTCGTATCAAACTGCATCAGGCTTTTAAATGATCTCTGCTGCTCTGATAATTGAGGAGTTAGAGGTATCTTTGAAATGTCATTTTGTTTTGCCACTTCTTGTCCACGTGCTCATCTCATAACGTACTCTCTATAATAACACATGGTTACATGGCAAAAGCAAAGGGAAAGTACTAAGAGGAATGAGAATTCAAGCAAGAAGGATGTATTGTGTTAATCAATACAGTCAAGAGAATTTCCTACTGGAAAGTGGGAAGAAGAGTGTTTTACAATTGGTATCACACAAAGCCAAATCCAGAATACTGGATTTGGAAATAATTATAATCCAGTTGCTATCAGTGAAACTAAAATAGAATTAACTACGAAAAAATCAGTCAAAGGCAAATTAAAGCTACTTGGCAGCATGGCCTGCCACTCCAGAAGATCAAGTTCACTAGAACTGAGATTTCTGAATATCAGACATTAAAGTATTTAGATAAGTACACTTACACCTGTAACTCCAGAACCTGGCAGTAGCTAGCATGAGCTATTTGCAAGCACTCCGACTCAGTCTTTATAGTTGTGTACAGTGATGGAGGTGTTGGTGGAACTATTGTTAGAACAGGAGAGAGGCCTTATATTTTGTGTCAGATAAGCAGTGCCTGTGTGTTTTGAGGGATAACAACACAATTCCTCAATGCATAATCTGTTGGTAATGATACAGAGGGGTTTCTGCCATGAGGATTGTCAGCAGTGGGACAGACACTTTTAGATGTTGGAGTAAGTGACAGGTCGGTGAAAGTATAACGTGAAATGTACTACATGTGTAAGAGGCTGAGGCTGTAAAACTCAATACATGTTGATCTGCTCCATAAGAAGAGCAAACATTTTTTTTAGATGGGAGGTCCTACCTGGTGTTTTTCAAAACCGAAGGGAAAGGATGCATTGTATGCTTTAGGGTAAAGATGAAGCAGTGAAGGTGCCACCTTTATCATTCAGCTCTGGTGTTCAGAAGTTCCTCATGCTTCCAGGGGAGGAGCATGAGGAGTGTTAGAGATCCAGTCTACTAAAGAGGCTTACAGCTGAGATGTCACTATGGTTAGGGAAAAGACTTGTGATTCCCTGATGCATCTCTTCCTCCTTTCCCTGGGGGCTTTGTTTAACTGATCTGTGCTTTAAGAACATTGGAGAGTTTAGCCAGACTGCAGCTTCTTGCAATATTCTAGCAGCAGCTTCATCCTCCAAATTTGACGTTGATTGCAGTCACGCCTGTAGTAATATTACTGTAGTAATTAGATGCATCACCACTTTTCTGAGATACATCTGCACTTCTTTGCCACTCTTTGAAAATTAAGCTTTCCTTCTTGTTGCATGAAGCACTTGGCATCCAGTGAATTGTTCTTTGCAGTCTTTGCCCCGTCCTACTGGGTATGTAAATGACAAGGAGGAGCTCACCTGTTTGCAGTTTTCGTGCACCATAGCCCAGGATGCATGTGTTTGCCTGAAGAAGGCCTCCAGCTGTACCTTGCTTTGCATGGGTCATGCTGGAGCTTTTCCCTACCATGCTGGGGATACTGCACATATTTGTTTGGGTTTTCCTCCTTTTCAAAAGCTTTTGTAGCCTGTCTTACATCTTGTTTCTTATGCATCTTGGAGTAAAGCAGGGGCTTGGATCGTCATGGCAAGATTCTGGGGATCCTGACGTGCTCGGTGTCAAAAAGAGAACAGGTCAAAAAAACTTTGAAGGAACAGGGCTTTCTAAATCATCCAAAAGAGTGGGGAAGAGACTTCAGATACATAGAAAGGAGTAGGACATGGATTGTTACGCTGTTGCTGCATCTCTGACCTTCGAATTGGTACTGACACTGCTGCAAATAACAAATACATCGATCTGTATCTTGTTGCTGTTGTTATTATGGATTAATATGATTATTCTAGTATAAATTTGAATTTAAGCTCCATTTTTTGAAAGCTGTTTTGTTTTCCAGTATACTATTACCAAGGGGAGTAATTTACCAATTACCCTTGGCAAGATAATTAGAAATTTCTTTTTTTTGCTTGAAAGAAATGATACTTCATGTATCAGAAGGCTTAAAAAAAAAATACATCACTTCTCACAAGGTTTTAAAATTGATGCTAACTTGACTTGAAATCAACAAAGTTGATTTGTTTCTGTCTGTAACAGACAGAAACACTTAGAAATTTCTTTAGAACACCCGCATTAATTTATCTGAGTAAAATGCTCTTGATCTTTTGTGTGCCGAATCAGGATGGTGAGTGGTTAGGAAGGGTTTTGCCTTATCCAAAAGTTGCTCGTTTTCAGCTTTCTCTAACTCATTTGAGGAGGAGCATGTGCTGTGAAGAGTTGAACTGTCAGCTCCCGTTAGTAATTCCTGTGCTCTCTTGGTCACCCAGCATAATTTTGCTTTGAAGTCACTGGATGCATCATGAAATGTCTTTCATTAATGTGTTACTTGAAAGTACAGTACTCATCCTCTCTAGCAGCTGAAAGGAGGATTTACCATATTTAGCTTCTATTGTATTCTCAGCTTTTAACTGTCGCTAATTTTTTGTCCTGAAACAGTAAATGGTTGGAGGTACTGGGATTTCAACAACTCTTAAGACTAAAGCCTTCAAGTTTTCTGTCCTTAACATGCAGAAATGAGGACAGTGCCAATCCAGGCAAATAGAGCTCGTTCTAAAACTGAGTTTTCAGGCTCCAGTTGCCATCCCTATATCATACAGGCTGCAGAAAAGTAGAATTTTGATGACTGGGTAGTAGTCATTGAAAAACTGAGATCTGATGCGGTGAAAGGAAGGTTGCTTTTTGTAATTGAGATAAATTCCAGAATGAAGCATCTTCTTGAAACTGGAAATCACTATAGCTGTTTAAGAATATCAGTGTTTTGGATGAAATCAGAGATTTCGATACATTTATTTATTTGTTTCTTTGGAAAACATTTTTTCAAAGGTTTATCTAAAACTGCTTTTACTGCAATTCCAATAAAACGGTGTTTTGCGTGTTCTCAGTTGGTGCACGGTGGGGCCTCGGTTTGTGTGTCACAGAGAGGCAGCAAAGCGAGCCCAGTAAGGGCCGAGGGAAGAACAATGGATATGGGCAGATAAAGTCAGGAAAAAGTGTCATAATAGTTGTCTGGTAAATCTTATCACTAGGAAGATGCCTCTGAAGTATAGGAGCTTGCAAGGATGCAGTATAGGAGAAAAAACCCTGCATTTGCCAAAGGCACAGCTCACTCCATGGGGAGGAAAACCAAAGAAACTTTTTTCAATCTATTTCTTTCTCCCTACTCCAGGCTACGAATTCCCACACTAACGAGGTGGTGGCAGTCAAGAAAATGTCCTACAGTGGAAAGCAAACGAATGAGGTAAAGCAAATTCTGCATGCACTGCATGCGGAAGCTGTTGCAACCAGAACGTAAATCTGGACAGTGAGATTAGCTGCGTGCTCCATTTGACACTAGCAGACCAGCTTTTTAGTGCAGTAGCTGTTGCTCACTTCTGTAGGAAGCATGGAGGTTTGTGGAGGGAAAATGAGTTTATGCAAATTTTGACAAATACTTCAGTTTAAGGAAGGGAATGGGAATTCAGAACGCTCGTATGGCAGTTGTTTGAGTACTAAGTGCCTTAAGAGCGTGCTGGCTACTGGAGCCATCACCACAACTCCTTGGGGTGTCAGCTGGAGCGTATCGCTGACTTGAAACCCTTTCAGGATGTATAATCTAAAATTGTGTAGACATTCTATTCAGAGGATCAGTTTCACTTCACTTGTTGCCTGTGAATTGCTCCTCTTATTTCTTTGTGTTGCGATGCTTTGCACTTGGATCGACTTCATTTGTATTGGTGGGTTGGCACACAGGAAAGAATGTGTGTGTCAGGACCAAACAGGGATGGTTTAGACTCATTTCCCCTTGCTTACCTGTTGGTCTCCCACATGTGCTGAGGTCTTCCAAATGTCAGTTGCCTTGCACTGCAATACAGAAGGAAGCGAACAGCCAACTGCCACCATCTGTAGCACGTACTGAAGGTGGTGGTGTCCGTTTTGGGGCAGGTGGGTTTGTTACTGGGTTTGAGACAACTGGGCAGATCAATATGCGAGACAGTAGCAATGCTTTTAAGTAAAATGTGTTTCAGACAAAACGAGGGGGAAAAAAATTTCTGCAATTTTCAAGCTGAATATGGGTTGGGGGAGTGTCTTAGTGCAACAGGGTCCATGCAACTGATGTGCAGTTGTGCTTTTGCAACTACGACTCTTATCGTCTTCACATTGTACACTAGTTTTGTGGTTGCTTTTCAGACTGTACTACAGTGTGTGGTGTATGAGAGTATGCAGAGGATTAAGCAGAGAAATGTTTTTACCTTATTGCTTTTTTTTTTTTTTTAATTAGAAATGGCAAGATATCATCAAAGAAGTCAAGTTTCTACAACAGCTGAAGCACCCCAACACCATAGAGTATAAGGGCTGTTACCTGAAAGAGCATACGGCATGGGTGAGTGATGTGGCATTCAGAGGTCTTCATGAGCAGAAAATGTATAGTACAGCAACCAAATATTCAGTATGTGCAGCGTCTTTACGTGCAGCAGCATTCATCCTATGCTGCCTGTAGTCCCTTTCATCTGAAGAAGCTTCCAGGTAATTCAAAGGGACTAGATATTCAGGATATTGGAATAAATCCCTGCTTCTCTGAGGCAGGCCTCTGTATTCATGCAGGTTAAACAATTATTATGGAACACCCTCTGCAGTATCTTCCCACAAACTTCTCGGTGCCTAAACCTTCTTTGCAACAATGAAAGATGTCTTGACATTGCTGGAATGTTTGGAAGTTTTTATTTTGTTCATCGCTTATTGTGTTTCTTGCAGCTTAAGGTTTTGTTTGCTTCTACTGCTTCTCAGCCATTCAAGTAGTAACTGTTTGTGGAGGAGTGTCTACCTCGTAATTTAAAAGCGTGCTTTTTTCTTGCAGTTGGTTATGGAGTACTGTTTAGGATCAGCTTCTGATTTGCTAGAGGGTAAGTTTTATATAGGCTTTGGTTTTCTTTTTGCAAGTGCCCCTTCTGAATACAGTGGGAGGCTGTTTTCTCAGACTGGTATTTTGCAGGTGGTAGAGGCGGTCCGTCTGTACTACTCCATTCTGTAGCTAGAATGCCTGTTTGTGATGCCAAGGGTGAGCTGAGACTTTCCGAGGAGGGCAGTGCTACGTATAGTTGGCATGCACTTTTATGTGCTGTAAAACGAAGGTATAAATGTATATATGTTCCTGTAACTTATACCTTCTTGATGACTGAAGCAATCTGCCTGTTTTCTGAATATCCGTGACCAAAAACTGCAGAGATCTCCTTTGTCCTTGCCTTGCAGTTTGTAGGAATAATTACAGGTGGTTTTGTAGAACAAGAGATCAATATGACCTCAAAACTACAGTAACAGCACCTGCAGAGGAATAAGGAATCTAAGCTGAAGTTTGCAAAAACTAGTGCTCTTTGTGGGCCGTATTTTTTGTATCTAAGATACGGTCGGCCAAAAGCACATGCTGGTCATATTTAGGGGTGTATGGAAGGTGCTTTGAGGCGTCTCTTTGTAGTTGGTATTTCTCACTTTCCTGTTTTTTGTCTATTGGGGAAAAAAGTGGCAGCTTTTCCTTGCTAATGACCAAATTAATATGTCAAATACATTTGGCAAGCTGCAGTCAGGCATGTCTCTTGATGTTAGTGGTACTTGTTGGCCCTAGCAGGGATGTGAAGAAAAATGTGGTTTCCTTTAATGTGAAATACATGCACAGGGTGTGCATAGACTCAAAGCTGCTCATGGCCATCAGGCCATAGGAAACTACAACGATGAAGATGATGATTGCCTCATAGCTGGCAAAATTGGTGGGGTTCCTTCTCTTGAAAAACACTTTCTCAGGAAAAGATCACATTTCTTACGTTTTTTTTTTATTTAATTTTTTCTATAGTTCACAAGAAGCCACTTCAGGAAGTGGAGATTGCTGCCATCACCCACGGTGCCTTGCAGGGGCTTGCCTACCTGCACTCTCACTGTAAGATTCACAGGTAAGGCTGGAGCTCGGTGCTCTTAGATGTCCTTCCATCTTCCACCCTCTGGAGTCTGGACATTGCTTCACTGTGTTTAAGCAACTTTGGTAAAGGTTATTTTACCAAAACTTTCTCTAATGAACCTGTCAGTACTCCTAATGCCAGGGTAAACGTATAAATAAAAGCTGTTGGCTATTAAGGAGTGCATTTTTTCTTTTTTTTTTTTTTTTAATAATTTAATGTGGTTATATTCAGTGCTGAATTCTCTTCCATGTTGGCAATTTTTCTCTGCAGACAAAGAATACACATGAATATTGGCTGACTGACAGGAAGATATCACCCTAAATTTGCCACGTAAAGTGGAGTGGTAGAGCTAGACTATTTTTCAGATTAGACATTGTGAGAATTTTTTATGTATGAGTAAGTAAAACTTTATGCTTTTAGAAAACAATTGATGAAAATGTAAGTCAAGGGTAAAACTACCTGAGGAGAAATCAGAGCACACAGGCAGAGGAAGATTTTTTTGTAACAGGCTGCTCGTAGATGCCAACTCGTAGATCCCTGTTTCATAATGCAGTATTTTTCAGGATTTTGGATTTTTTTGGCTCATTTGTCAACAATGTTGCATGTTCTCATTTTATGTTTCTGTCTAATTTTGGGTACTACTGATATATCAGGGACTTCTGAAATGGGTGACAACTAGGTTGGTGTAATGTGAGTGGGCAGTCATCAGAATGAAGCAACTTGAGACTAATTTATGGGGCTAAACCCCTCTTTGGGATCTACTGGCAAGCTTGAGACAGAAAATTGGTATGTCTGAGGTTGAGACAGAGAGGGATTTTTACAGAGATAGGAATTATTTGTCATTTGTTAGAATAACTATTTGGGCACATCTGCGCACGTTTAAGTGAAATACTAATTGAAACATTAATGCCAATTTGTGACATTAAGATTATTTTTTTATCATCCCTTTGCATATATGCCCTTACTTGAGCATAAAAATACCTGTTCTGAAATATTTTACATGTTTTCAGCGTCCATTGAATTCTCATTTATCGCGAACGACTTTCTTCACGGACACTGTTGAGAATTAGTTTTCTCAATACTCATTAGGACTTTCTAACATAGCAATTAATGTGTTGTAAATTCAGCAATTTCACTTACTGAGTGCTAGCTACTCTGTGTGAAGTTTCCGTTGGCGTGCTTGTTGCATATCAAGAACCAAACTAGTTGTTTCTCACTGGAAAATGTTACTTTGCTGTTGCAGTGTGCTGAGAGCGGCCGTAAGGAAAGTTACTGCTAGAAGCACCACGCAAGGCTTTCCTCTCTAGCAGGTTTTCTTCCAAGGAGCATTCTGCTTTTCAACTCCTAGCTAGGAAGGCAAGTCTGCTCTCTTAAAAAAGAGAACCATCAAGAGATTTCTACTTTTCCGATAGGTGTACCTTAGAAAGGGGAGGCGAAAGAGTGCCGTTTCCTCGCTTCGCTGTTCAGCGGTGTCGAGTGCTGTGCTGGTGCGTGCAGCTACAGGGGAACCGTGCAACCGGAGGAAAACACCGTGTTCGCCTCTGCGGTGACAAGTTCCACTTGTGCAGTGGCAGTGGGAAAAGGAAAGGGAATGCTGAACGCCAGAGGGTGGCAGGTGGGGCAGGGGACCCGCAGCAAGGCAGGCGAAGGCAGCGTGACCGAGAACGGGGGGACACCTGGTGGGGACGGAGCAGCAGAGCAAGGCTCCCATCTCGCCTCCTCAGCATCTCTGCTGCCAGTTCTGGCAGCACTCTGCGGGGTGGCAAAGGAGGAGGTTATTTTCTGTTTGATTGCAGGTGCAGGGCAAACCTAAGTTAGCAAATAGTTTGCTGATACTTGAGTCCTCTGTTGATTGTTGTACAGCGAAGGTGGCAGTGGAGGTGATAGCAAGGAGGACAGCCTGTGCTGTCTCCATTGTACTTTTGAGGTGTTCATTCTTGCACAGGGAAAACATCTTTAGTGCTTGTTCTCCAGCAGAAGTGACAGGTGCATAGACCCAAAACATTAAGACGTGTCAGGATGTGTTTGAGTAGCACACGTGTGTGAAAAATTCCTTAATATTAGTTTTGAAGCAGGTGAGAACGGACCTGGGAATGGGGGAATAGAGGTTGTTACTCCAGCCCTGCTGCTGAAGTACTGTACATAAATTCCTGTCTCCGTGGCTCTCCATCCCAGCTGTGCCTATCCTGTGTGCTGCCCTGTGGAGACAAAGGCATCTCACCAGTGTTTGTATCACACTAAATTTAAAGGGTCTTTCAGCTTGCCTGTTCTGTGGGTCAGCAGCCATCCTGGGTTCGTATTTGATGCACAAATCATTATTTCAGCTGTTGTACAATAATTCAGTGTGTGCTCCTCCTCTGCACCAAATACAGGATAGCTTTGCTTCCCCTCCCATGTATCTAATTAGCTCACTTCTCATGGGCTCGGAGCATGAGCGTGTTTGGCAATACACAGTAACTTGTTTGTGTTGGAGCTCCACTACTACTGATAGTGGGCTTGGTGTTTAAGGACTTACAATTGAATACCAGATGAGAAAAGCTGATTTTTTTTGTGTAAAGATACATGATCTTTTTTGAAGAGATGGCAGAGACATTCCAAACCATATGGTGTATGTAGTCTGGCTGGCAGGGATCCCTTACACACATTCCATTTATGTTGAGGGTCTGCCTTAGCAAAAGTAAATAACCTTGCCCATGTAAAGGCATCTGTGGCATATCTAGTGGGCAATTTTCCCTTTGTTATTGAAGTGCTGTATCAGGGTTTTAAAGAACTTTCACTACATTGTGATTTTTTTTCAGCTGGCAATGTGTAAGTAGACTTGAATTTCTTAAAGCAATTCGTTTATGTCAAGTGAGTGGAAGGAAAAAATATTTCACATGTAGCTGACAAGCCTGTCTCAAACTTTGCATAGGGTCATTGCCAAGCATCTTGGAAGGGATGCAAATTGAGTTAACCTTTCTCAGCATTTCATGGGCAGTTAATCTGAAATTATCCCACTTACTGCTGGAATTTAAGAACTTACTCTGCCAAAGGTGTTGAATATATCTTGTGCCTTTTGTATTTCAGTAGTGTCATTGTCATTAATCTCTTAAATGTGTGAATTATCTGAGAGTTTTAGGAAGGAAAAGATAAGGGAGCGTTTGAAAGATGAAAATAACACATCTGGTATCATTTAAGGTGTCCCAACTGGTTATTAGGATACATCTTGGATCTCAGTTTGGGACCTCAACCTTGCAGCCATGGCTCATCTCTTTTTCTCTTCCCTCACCCTCTGCCCTTTTTGGGTACAGCCAGGCTTCCATTCCCCCAAAAAATATGTATCTGATTTCTCTAGCTTTCTGTAATACTAGACTTCTGAATATTCTTAGGGTTTTATGAATATTTAATTGAGGAAAACTTCAGTGGACTTCTGTGTGTTTTGTAAATTTTTGAAAGTTATTCTGCTGTAACCAAAAGTATACTTTTCTCCTTTTCTTTTACAGGGATATTAAAGCTGGAAATATTCTTCTAACAGAACCAGGTCAAGTGAAGCTAGCTGATTTTGGGTCTGCATCTATAGTCTCCCCTGCCAATTCTTTTGTGGGAACGCCTTACTGGTGAGTAAAGCCTGCAATACTTCAGTCCTTTATAAGACTGCTCTCTTCCGTTTCCAGCGTTTCACAATCCGAAAATAATATCTGGCATAAAAACTTTATTAACCAAGCTGTTTCCTTAAAACCCCTGTGTCCAGCTTTTCAGGAAGCGTGTTCTTTCTCAGTGCCCATGAGTAGAGGTAGGCTGTGCAGCACTTTGAAATGGCACCAGTTAGTGTTTCGACTGTCGTGATGCTGTTGGCTTAAAAAAAATATTAACACCATAGGTAATGCAAGTAAGACAACCACATGGAGAAAGGGAATCCTGTTAATCTGGCCATGCAGACTGGAAGTCACACAGCTACTTAGATTCTGTTTTGAAGAAACTTGCTTAAGGGTCTCTTGAGTTGCTTGGTATTCCTAACATAGTGGACCAGCATAGCTTTATGCTCCACTTGTTTTGTGGCAGATGCCCCAGGCATTGATGGGAGGTCACCTATCGCCCAACCTCTGAACAAGTCCACTTGGCAGGAAGCCTGCTTCATCTTTGAAGAACGAAAGTTAAGAGGCTGCCTTTTTGCAGGCTGGGCCCACTGCTTCTTTTTCCCCCAGCTCATCCGTTTATCCTGGACCACCATATTTCCCCACTGTTCCGCGTTTCCCTGTTCCTTTCATAGCTACACTCACAGGCGGCATATATCTGCTGGAATATTCTCCTGATGTGCCAATGGAAAACCCACCATCTCTGGTGAGAGTGAAAGTGATGCCTTTAGGACTCTCCCAGCCCTTGCTGTCTGCCTGCAGGTACAATGCCTTTGAGATTGGTGTGGGTCTCCCATGTGCCAGCATGTTGCGCTGACAGCAAGATGATCAGGTTGGCCTCTTGTTTACTTTCCTTTCTTAAATTGCCTCTTGGAAGAGTTGCTAGTGCAGGCAAGCATTGTTTCATTTCAGCATGGCTTTACTCAGCTCCATGCTGGCTCTTTAAGTTCTGGTCCGCTGCGCTGCTGAAGATAATGAAGCCGTCTCATTTTAAGCTGTGTGCTGGGAGTCACAGTTCTTATCCCCTAACCCACATGTTTTGCACTGTGGTTGGTAGGATGGCACCAGAGGTGATCCTTGCTATGGACGAGGGGCAGTATGATGGAAAGGTGGATGTCTGGTCTCTTGGGATCACGTGTATTGAGTTAGGTGAGTAAATACTTGGCAGCTGAGATTAATAATTAAATGTCTGCAATATTTATTAGGAAGTCCTGAAAAAAAGTCTTGTATGAGAGGAAACTGGTTTGTGGCCTGTATTTTTCAAGCTGGGTTTTGAGAAGGTTGTTCCAGCTATTATGTCAATGGAACTGGTGTCCTAAGAATTGTATGTCAGAAGGGATCTACATTTAATTTTCAATTCTTCTTACTTACCCACTCTCTGAAACAAATATCTTCAATCTCAGCTGAAAGTTTGTGACATGAATCAACATGGACAGGTTCTTTACGTGAGAAGAAAAGGGTTTGCACTGCAAAGGGCAATTGATACACATCCACACAACCTGAAGCAGATGTAGACGTGATAGCAGGTACACAGAACACACGTGTGCACTTCAAGTTTGAACATTGACATTGCATGTGCTGACTAGATTATTTTCAAAGATTCTGTTCATACAGATTATATTTACCTAAAGAGTAGTACATCAAGAACTTATTGTGAGGGCAAATTCACTGAAGATGTTATTTATGTCTAATCAGCAGAAATATACATGAGATAACAGAGGTCAACATACAGAATGGGAAGAAATGTTGACCCTGATATGGACACGATAATGTTGTAAATGACTAGTAACTTCCAGTGTTGTATTACATGTGTCAGCACTAATGCCTTGCTGACACAGCATGTATTCTGATATAAAGAATGCAAAAATCAGAAGTTCTAGACTTCTCTTCTTCCATACAGCCACCGATTTCTTCTCTTGTGGAGTTTAGACTAGTTATGGCCTCTCAATGAGGAAATCACAGTGGTAGAACAGATATGCTACCCTATGTAGACACTGAGTCTTGATACAATTTCTATGGAGCTTTTCAGTCAAGAACCTCAAAGCCTTTTTGCATAGTTGATGGGTTTGCTTTTTTTAATATTACCATTTTGAGAAGTATTAAACTTTTTTTTTAAAAAAAAAAAACCCTTTGAGCTTTGCCTTTGCATGATTCCATACCTGAACATGAGGTCAGGTAGCAGTGGGAGGAAGTCTCTTGTTGAGAACCACTTGGCTTTCTTTGAATGCTGATGCCTTAATTTCATGTGTAGCTGAAAGCAAGTAGTGTTTAAGGAAAAGCAAATGCGGTGGTTTGCCAAAACCAAAGATCTGTAGGGACTGATAGAGACATCTCCTAGCCCCAACGTGTTACATGTCTGAGCCCTGTTTTAGTCAGCCTCTGCTGATTTTACCATAGCAGGCCAGGTGTGAAACATTGCAGTTAAACAGGTAAAAATCTACTGGAAACTGTTTCTTATAATTTGTTTACTGTTCTCTTTGGATTTCTTCGTTCTCTCAAGTAACAGTTTTCCTTGAGTAGTTGTCCTGGTCTGACCTGGAATATTAAAATCCTTAGCTTAAATGTGATGACAACAGTAATGAGCTATTGATTTAGCAGCAATACCCTGCTTATACTTACCATATCTTTCTCCTTTTCTTTCTGACTGCCTTATCACACCTTTCTGTTCTCTCTCTAGCTGAAAGGAAGCCTCCACTATTCAACATGAATGCAATGAGTGCCTTATATCACATAGCCCAGAACGATTCCCCTACGTTACAGTCAAATGAATGGTAAGAGAGCTATTACCAGATATTTTCTTTTTGTTTCCCTGAAAATGCTCTGCGACACTCTCTGCATTGTTTCAAGTCTGACAAGAAAAGTGTTTGTTGCAGTGTAGTGATTTAACTGCGTTCTTAAATAATGCTCCTGTGTAGGCAGGCTCAATTTTGACCTTCTGTCACTTTGGCTGTGCTACAATCTAGATGTGCGGAGGTGTTAATTATGGGGCTGTAGATGCTGTAGGAATTAAGATGCTGCAGGAATTAAAATATTCTTGGATACATTAAGGCAGACATAGCTCAGCATCAGCAAAGTTTCCAGCTGCAAAAGATCCCTGACAGAAGAATTGTTAGCATTGTAGTGCAGCTGAAATGTGGAGAAAGGGAGGGGAGATGTACACAGAAAATAGAGGTAATTAGATTGGTTTCAGTGAGTGACTTCTAAAGTCATCAGAGCTCTGTGGCCAGTAAATACTCCCCTTGCTACAGGCTTGTTCCAGAATCAGCTTTGAAACAAGAATGCTTTGTTATTCTGTGGGAGCAAAGGAGCTACCCTGCTTCCTGTTCTCTGTACCCAAGAGTGGAATGTAGCTCTCGAGTGATGCTTGGCAGAGCCTGCAACTGGCTTGAAGCAATCGCTCCTGAAGAGGTGTGAAGTTCCTCCAGTTGCACTGCTAGGCATTTAAGTGACATAATTGTTTCATTGCTGATCGTTCCATCAAAAACACTCCCGTTGTCTTATTTCATCATCTCTGTTTTGTCCGTGTTTCAAGAATCGAAGAATTTGGTCTCATATCTGCACACTGATACCCACGTTATTCTGTGCAGAATTTGCAATGCAGAGTAGAGACAACTTGTGAATACAGTATGAGAATCAGTACTCTTGATTGCAAGCACTTTGTTTATAGTCACCTGTTTGCTCTCTGTGGCTTTGAGAACACGAGGAGTAAGCAAGGTGCCTTTTATGCTGCTTTCGAGTTCAGTTGGCACCTAGAAGATCAGTTTTCTTCTCTCCAGTTGTGATACAAGCTCACATAAAGTGTAAAGTTTTGTTGAACTAAGCGTTCTATCAAGGTGCTGTAGTGAGTCAGTGTTGCAGATGGTGGGAAGCTTCCAGAGAGTAGGGAGCCATCCCATCAGCCAACTTCACAAGGGCATTTCTGGAGGAACTAGCAATTTCCTTGCCATCTATTTTTAAGTAGTCGAAGTAAAATTGAAAATAGTGACTAGTACACGTAGTTCTTGCTTGTTTTTTCAGTTTGTGGTTGGCAATAATTGTGTGACAACGTTTGTTTCAACAGTCTTCAACGGTTGAAAAAACTGATGGGATCGACTTACTCAGAATTTCAAAAAGTCCAGTTAATTTCTCTGCCCTAGAACTTGAGAACAAATTAGTCAAGGTTTTTCTTTTGCTTTGCCCTAATAAGTTTGTGTATATTTCAGATCTGAAGCTGCTTTTTCATTTAGAACTTCTTTTTTATTTACAGGTCAGACTCCTTTAGGGGATTTGTTGATTACTGCTTACAGAAAATACCTCAGGAAAGGCCATCGTCAACAGATCTGTTACGGGTAATTTTTCAAATCTTTTCCAGAAATTTGGGAAAAATCTGTTTGTCTACCAAAATAATTCTAAAGATGGTGATCAAATATTTGCCCTTTCAAAAAAAACATTGCTCGTTTTGCTCTCATCTGAATCAAAAGAGTTTTGGAGTCTTCTGAAGAGAATTTTAGGCTCTTTAAGTTTCTTTCCCGGCTTTGCCTGTTCCGTGAGTCACAATTCTCTTTATAACATGATGCTCAAGAGTCGCACTACTGGAGAGAAGTGGAGATGGACTGTGTGGTACAACAGTTACCCTGTTGAGTGAGGAGTTACTGGGGGGAGCAGCCCCACACCTTGCTCCTCTTGCACCCCAGAGCTCTGCAGAGGTTACGTTTGGTTCAGAGGACTCGCAAGCGTCGTGGGGCAGAGACCTTTCTGGAGCAGTTACGTGGTTTTGTGTAAAGTAATGTAACTGGTAACTAACTGAGGCTTTTATTTTTTTTTTTCTTTCTCCTGTTTATCTTCTGCAGTAAGGAAAAATGTTACTTTTCCATTGTGTACAGGCAATACTTGCTCCTAAGCTTATACACCATTTCAGTGAGATTTAAGGCTTGTGGCTTGCTACAGGCTTTCTCTGTGGAAGTGATAGAAAATCTAAAAAAAAAAAAAAACAAAAACAAAAACGTTTTAATTACTACTCAAAATCTAGACTTAACCCTCAAAATCTAGACTCGACCAGTCTTCATAAGATGCATAGACAGTAGCATATCTTTTGCAGAGCTGGTAGTACTTTGAGAATTAAACTCTGGATGATCAGAGGGTTGAGCTCCTAATAAAGATTCACAGATAGTGGCTGATTATTTAAAGGAACATGAGTATTAGAGATAGAGAGAGACTGGATGACCGACGTTTATCTCCTGGCCAGAGGAGGAGTGTTCTATGTGGGGTGCTCTGAACTGTCCAGTCTTGTCTTTTTTTTGACAGATGCAGATGAAGCTCAGGAAGGTTATCTTGACCTTTTTTCTCTAGTAATGCTAATGTGAGGGTGATTAATTCTTTATCTGTTCTTACCTTTTGAATATGTATCTTTTCATGAGCTGTCTGCCTGATCTCAGTTCAACTCTTGGTTTTGCTCTATTCTTGTAAATCATTCGTTTGGCCCTTTCTGACCCACTTTTTGGTTTGATGTTTGCTTTCGTGTAAAGTTCCTCTGGCTGGACAGGCATTTCTGGCACTACTACACGTACCATGAGATGTTACTCCAGGTGTGGTTACGTGGGAGCTGTGGTGTTACAGTAGGAGGTGCTGGTGCTGTGTTCTTTTGACTGCTGTTTGGTGCAGAAGTCCTGACAAATTTACTGGTCAGTGCCAACTGTAGATCCCTCCTCATGTTATTACTTACCAAACATACTTTGCGTCTGTTTAATTGTGTATTTCCAGACATCACATTTTTTCCAGCTTCTTTCTCTAGTCATCCACTGTTGTATTTCTGTCTGTTTCTGATCTCTGTTTTCCAATCATTTCATTGTCCTAGGTAAGTTTTGAGCAATTCCTCTTGATTCATTAACATCTTATAATGTGTTTGCTTCTTTTCTATATTCATGCATTATACTTAGTTGTTAAAAGCAGCACTGACAGGATAGGCCTAGGTTAACTTCTTCCCCTCATCAAACCACCAAACCCAAAAGTCATTTATATCCCTTTAATAGTTCCTATACTGAACCCAACTAATTAGAACTTGTTTTGGAAATAACTGTATCATTTTGGAAAGTGCCTTGTATGGGTTCATAATTGCCAGGAGCTTGCAGGAGGGGAATCTGTGCTGGGAGTGATGTGTCCAGAGTTTGCCCAAGTTTTGTCAGTGAATCATAAATCAGTTCCAGTTTAAGTCATTTGGTTTCAGTTTACCTGAGAAGTATAGGAACTGCTTAAACACAAGGGCTTTGTGTTTGTGAAATTCAGGAGCACCCTTCCGTTAGAAGGCAGGGATGTGTGAAACCCTGTCCAGGCCCTTTTCCACTAGGATTTTTTTTTTCCAAGTATTTCCTTTCTTTAAAATTGATTAGTGGCCCTGCTCTTCCTCTGGTTGCTGTAGATAGCTGCTGGTGAGAATTGCATGGCATGCTGCTGTTCCACACCAGGCAAACAGGACTGAGTTTTTCCTTAAATATTTGAGTAAAGCAATTGCCAGCTCCATGAAGTGTTTTGCTTAATTTCCACAGTAGGTTAGACTGCGCTCTGAGTCTACCTGGCAGCCTCTTCTTGCTGGTTTTTGTTCTTAGGCCACCACTCAGCCTTTGGCTTGTGGCTTCTCTTGTTCTTTCGGCTCCGTAAAACGCATTCCCATGGATGTTTGTGAGCCTCTTGGTTCTTGAAGAGTGAAATCAAAGCCCTTACTGAACAGCTAGCTTTGTGTTTGCTTCCATCCTTGCTTTAAGCCTGGACCACGTAGAATACTTAACCCTTACGCCTTCACTCTCTGGGTAAAGGCTGATGAACAAGCTTGTTCGTACTGTCTCTTCAGTGCCCGATATTTTTGTTTTTTTTCCCTGTGATACGTTCATGCTGTGGCACATAACCAGCATTTTGTTCTCTGGTTCTGCTTGCAGCACCCTGACAATCCTTTGACCAGCTAATAGGTTCATGTTGTGGGTTTCCGAATGAATCATTCACGTGGATTGGCAGCCTTTCTGCTCTCTAGGAATAGTGCAAGTTCATTGAAGGAGATGATTTCCTGAGTACCTTCGGTTGGAGTCTGTGCCAACAATTGGAGCGGAGATCTTAAATCATGTATATTCAGTCTTTTTATTTGGTTTTGGACTTTCAGAACAGTACCCTAGATGTTCCTTCCTGCAGTAGCTCTCCCTAAAGCTTCTTAGATTATAAGAGTGAAGATGATTTTGTCTCATGAGGATTTTTCACTTGTGTACAGTAAACAGGGATAGGGCAAATTTTTGTGGCCATGTTTTCTTAAAGGGAAATGAATTTTAAATGAAGCTTTTGAGAATTATTTTGATTTCAAGTCACTATTCCAGGTGAAAATAGTCAAATGACTGTAGTGATACTAAAATGCAGTTGAAATTTAAAAAAAAATAAACAAAACAACAACCAAAACCTCACTAATATTTTTCCCTTTTAAAATTAGAAGCAATTATAAAATTTGTTTTAAAACATTCCCCTATTTTTCTCAGCTTGCATGACATTCCCAGCAGACTTGAGTTCTGTTAGTCACTCTTCGAGCCAACTTGTTACCTGCCTTTAGACCAACCTTTTCCTCCCTTTGAGTCAGTTTGGGTTTTTTCCTTGCAGTTTGGAGAAAGTATCCAAATTAAGTCCTTTCAGCCGTCGTTTCTTAGTGTTGCACAGTACCTTGCAGAAGGGTGTGTACATTTTTATAATTTATAAAATTATATAATGCAAGTTAACAGTCCGAATTGTATTTTTATTATGCAAGAGCTTTTTGGTTTGGTTTTCACTTTCGTGCATCTGCCGCGCAGTTTCCATGTGATCTCATTCTAATTGAATAGTGCTTGAATACGAAGCACAGTGTTTCCTGTGAAATTAGTATTTGTACTGTTAAAGAATATGCATAAACAAGTACACACTGGACAGACAGGATGGATTTAAGTTCAGGATCATTGTTCCAAACACATTACTGCTTTCTAAAAATTATCTACAGTGAGATAAAAATGGTTAGCGTTTTCCTAATCATAGATAAGCTGCAGATTGTTACTGTTTGCAGAGGAATAAATGGTGGTTGTCTGTGGTGAGGTGCAGAATTGATTCATTTTGCTTCTGTGTTAAACGGTGTTTAGATCTTTTAGCTATAATTCAAAAATACACACCATCACTACTCGCCAAAAAATTGATTCTGAAATGCCTAGCTGTCCCCATTAGCAAAACTCAAAAGCATAACGGTTTGAATGCAATTAAAAACAAGAAGCAAGCCTGTGGCATGATAGTTTGTACGTTTATTTACAAATCAGTAAAAGAGGATCATCCTTTCAACTTTTTTATGCACAAGACTCCTGTGTTAAGTAGGACTGTCTTTCATGCATGGGTTACTCCAGTTAGTTGCATATGTTAGCTTTTTGAACTTGAGGGATGGCAACACATCTAGGGTAGAGATGCTTTTCCCTGTCCTGTGGGTCCCTGAGTTCACCAGGTGTGGAAGGAGCTGTGAGACCAAGCAGGCAGATGTGACCCTCCTGAGAACTGCTTTGCAGACAGGGTCCAGCTGTTGAGGCTCTCTGACAAAAGGCCCCTGTGGCATTTGCATCACAGGGCAGAGAACAACTTTTTTCCCATTCCTCTCTTCCATTGTTAATGTTTCTAGAAATGTGCAGATGACGTTTGTGCCTTCAGGCCGTCTCCCGTGGTACCTATTAAACAACAGACCCAACGTAGGGATTCCATGTAGAATTTTGGCAATTGTATACTCAGGCTGTCTGCTTTAGTCAAAGGTTAAATGGGAAATCTGCAAAGCTTTCCTACTCTACTGCAAGTTGTACAGTTCAGGAGAAAGTATCTGATAAATCAGAGAAAAGCCTTTCATCGTGTACTTAAATTCTATTGAAGAATTTATTGTTAAGTCTACACTTAAAACCTGTGCTTCTGTGTAGCAGGAGTTGGTAAGAACCCGATTTTACTTTAACTCTGGCTACAAATGCTTTAAGTATAAATAAACCTTCTAGTCTTACTGGTTTTATGCGTGAATTGGAATAGAGAGATGCAGGATAAACTTTTGCATGTAGCTTAGGCAAGTAATCTTGCATAATCAGGGTTGATTCTTCTTTGTCCTTTATGCATTTTGTTCATTTTAAATGCCTTGGTAAGGTTTGAAGTGGCACTGTGTTGTGCCTTGTCCACATCCAACAAACGAGCTTGGGAAGGGACGAATTAGCTGGGACAACGTTGCCTGGGGAGCTCAGAAAACCTGACCCCAGTCCAAACTTCCACTTCAGACAGAAAAGTGAGCCAGGGCTAAAGGGAGCTTGCGAAGGTCAGCCAGGTCCCACACCTCTCCATCCGCTGCTCGTCTTCTCCTGCTGCTGTGCCCGCGTGCGCAAGCTTCAAGTAGAGAAGTGATTTTTGCCTCGCTTCTCTCTGCTCTACATTTAATTATGTGCTTAAGCAGATCTTCTGACTTCTGAACAAAACGTTGTGCAGCCTACGCTTCAAAACCCCCAGCGCGTAGCGTGATGAGTCGGTTATTTGACGTAGCGATGAGCGCAGTCGGTGTGTTCAGAGCTGAGCGCGTTTGGAGTCTTTCATAATGAGTATTACTAATTATCGAATATCAACAGCCCGAGAACTGAATACGAACTGTCATTTCAGGTGCCTCTTAAAAGGAGTCGCGGTGTCCCTGTTGTTACATCAAACACACCAGTGTCATGTCTGAAACTGTGTTTTATTTCCTTTAATTTAGCATGATTTTGTTCGCCGAGACCGGCCACCAAGGGTACTTATAGACCTCATACAAAGAACGAAAGATGCAGTACGTGAATTGGATAACCTTCAGTACCGGAAAATGAAGAAAATCCTTTTCCAAGAGACACGGAATGGCCCACTGACCGAGTCTCAAGAAGAAGAGGAGGTACTTTTATTTTGTTACCCCATTTGCACTGTTATAAATAATTTGAGGGCAAGTGAGATGTTCCTCTGCTGAAGGGGGCAGAACAAGCACAGCCTAGGTGAGGATGCAATCCATGTCGTTGGAATATCATCTGGAACAGCAGAGATACAGGGTAGGATAATGAGGGACAGTAACCTTTACTTGGTGTTAGATGTACGTTTATTGGCAACTTTAAAACTTTGGGTTTTTCCAAACGGTGGCCTTTTTTCTGAAAGCTTTAGGGAAGAAACTCATTGGGAGGGAGATTCCCTGAGAAGAAAGCGGTTCACAGCCTGTGTGAAGGAAGGTCTGTTGACAATCCAAGCTTTTCAGTCTCAGAAGCACAGTCAAGACCACTTGATTAACGTTAATATTTTTTCAATTACCATAACTGTACTGTAAAGTAATTGGTCTATCATGAGCTGAAAAGCAAATCACCAAATTAATAAGACTTATTTTTTAAAGTTCTTTAATATTAAAGAAAAAATATTTAAGACGTAAAATTCAGCTTCAGTTTAAATCTTATAACAAACAACCCACTTAATCAGTGTATGATAATTGACACTAACTGTGGCTTGGAGAAGGAAACGAGCCATTTTTCAATTGATAAAATTAGATGGAAATTAATATCATTTGGTGCAGGCACATTGGATAAATCAATCCATGACTGGTTCTCGACAAAAAAAAATTGACAAGCAAATTGATGTTTGTGTTCCTTTTCGCTGCAGTATAGCAAGATAATATGTAGTTAGATGCCCAAGCTCAGCGTATGTTCAGGGTCTTAGTTTTGAGGTTTGTGTGTGTCAAATGCTCCTTGAAGACTAAACTAGAGGTCTGGTTTAAGAAATGGATCGGCCTGGGTGTCAGGTAGGAGAGTACACAGGAGGAGGAGACGGGAACTCAGCACTGTCCTTCACGTTGAAGGAGTTGCACAGACGGAGCACGAACAACCACCACTGTGATTAAAGCTACGAAGTGCTTCTGTTGTAACCTTCCAGCTAGTCAGCTTCTCAACCTTGAGCTTAGTTGTTGGGGTGGAGAGAGGGGGGATTTGTCAGATTTTTGCACAGAAACCTTCAAGCTTTGTCTATCTATGTGTCAAAAGCTGTTAGGAGAGTGACGGGGTAGGAAAGCGCGAGGGAATGTGTTTCCCGTTTGACCGTTCAGCAGATCGGAGCTCAGCAGCTAAGTGGGATACATGTGGCGGTAGTTGACTCCGTATCTTCTGTTCCTCCTGTCCCCACCTCTCAAAAAAGGAGGAAGGAGAGAGATTATATCTCTAGGAATTAACCCTCACACTTTGCATGTGCACAGCATGCTTGGCACTGTTTTACCACTGAGCTTGTGTACCACGAGAGGAGGCTGTATTGCTGTGTGTATCGCTGACTCGGCAGGGGAAGGAAAACACAGCACTTGCTTCCGTTACTACTTAACGGGTTAACAGAAGCTGCTCAACTTAAACGCCACAAGACAGTTCCTTTTTCGACCTTAGACTTTCTAAGGTGAAAAAGGAGCATTACAAGTCTTTAACACTCAAAATACTACTAATGCTTTCCTTGGAGCTCTTGCGAGAAAGTTAAGGTGGTTTGGAAAGTATTCAAGTCAGGAAGTCGGTGTTAAGGTTGCATATGCAATCCCTTGTGTCCTTTGAGCATCTACATTCATTAATTACATAGCCATATCCTCATCTCGGATGCTTCATTATATTATTTCTTCTGCAACTTTATATAAGCATCCGGGAAATGTTTTCGTTCTCACGTGTGTATGTTCTCTGTTAAACAGTATTCTTTTTTATTTTGGATTTTCAGTGCTCTTACACAGGCTCTGAACGATCTGCTTGTTGCTTAAAAAATAATCACACAATCAAATACAAATCTCTCAAGTCTGTCAGTTTTGTCTTTCTGTTGGTTTCCAACAAAATGAGTACCCTGTTAATTGATTTTTCAATGTAATTCTCCCTGAGATCACTTTGGAGGCCAGGACACACTGGATGCAGTAGTGAGCCATTCATTTTGGTGAATCAAGGCAATTTTGGACCAGGAGCTGAAGGATGTTCAGAGTTCTCAGTTCTCACTGTGAACTCCTCACAAGCCTCGTCAGTGCCACTAGTTAATTACAAAGGACTCCTTAAATTCTCTAAAGTCAGTCCACATTCAGTGCATACTTTGGAATTACTGAGCTAGTATGGGTATGCAACAAGGAAAAAGGCTGCTAACTTCTGATATTTGTCTGTAGGATCAAAAATGTGTCCTGTATGAGCAATAACTATTTACGTATGTCTAAGTGGATTACAACAGTTTTAATCACTGTAATAATGTAAGTTCTTCTGAGTCAGCAGCTTAAAGGTGAATGAAGAACTTATCTTGGCTGAAAATACAAGATTAAAAGGGGTTTTTAGCTTGACAAAATGTAATTGCTGACTGCTTGGGACACGGAGGTTAAAACCTCTACACCTTATCAAATCATAAACAAATGGGTTCATTGTCTTAAAACTTTTTGGATTCACAAAATGTGTTGTAGCGTACCCTGACTCGGAACATTGCTTTCATACAAACTTAGGTTGCTCCTTTTTAATTATGAGACTCCTTCCACCAGCCATCCAGTATTCCTGGATGTCTCCTATTCAAGCCAAGAGCTGTGCCCAAACTTACTGATATGTGGAAAAAAATTGGCTTGAGGCCTGGTGTAGTAAGATTGCAGGAGAAGAGGCAAAAGCTAACTGCCCCGTCTGGAGTTTCATAACCCAAGCAGCCTTGACAAACCTAGTTGCCAAAACAAGGAGCGAAGAACCTGTAGCTCTGCAGAGTCGCCTTTAAAACAAACTTTGGGCACTGCAGGAGCGTGCTGGGCAGGTGATCTCCTGCAGTATTTGTAACTGATGCCCCTTGTTTTATAGGACAGTGAGCATGGATCAAACCTGAGTAGGAAGATGGACAGTCTGGGCAGCAACCATTCTATCCCAAGTATGTCTGTGAGCACAGGCAGTCAGAGCAGCAGTGTGAGCAGCATGCAGGAGGTCCTGGATGAGAGCAGCCCTGAACTGGTCATGATGCATAGTGACGAGAGCACAATTAATTCCACTTCCTCCGTTGTTCATAAGAAGGTATGTTGTCTGGTGCTCTCCATAGCTTCCTGCAGTCCCTGCTATTGCTCGTGTTGGCTCACCCGCGTAGGGCCCAACGGTCCGTGTGCTGTGGTCTTGTGCTGAGCCATCTGCTGAGAGCAGGAGCTGGTGCTGGGCTTGCTGGAATCAAGTTCTGTGTTTGTCTTTAAAAGCTAAACTGCATTTGGATAACCTCTGAAAATAAAGAGGCCACTACTGAAAGGTAGCGCTGTGTCAGTGTCTAGGCAGGGTTCACCCACACTTTCTGCATGCCTCCTTGCCCAGCCCTGCATGTGCGCTCTGCCTGTCACGTCTGTCCTGCTTTCCTTGGGAATGACTGTCCTGTGTTATGTGATACGGTGACAAGTGGTCGTAGCAGCTAAGCTAACCGTTTACCAGTCACAGTGTATGATTAAAATCTGCTTGCACTTGGATTTCCCTCGTGAGAAGTGGAAGTGTGCAGAACTTTGGACCCTTCCCGCAAGGTATGTTTTGAGTTAAATTCCACTCAATGCTTTTCTGCTCTTTTGCTGCATGTTGTGATCTGTTGCCTTTCGTTTGCTTAGTGCTAGATATTAGGCTAAAGTTGTCTAGCTGTAAGTCAGCATCTAATGTAAGATTGTTTGACTAAAATAGTTTTGGCTTGGCCGTAGCGGTGGCATTTGCTAGTGGGCAGTAAAATGTAGGTTGGTTGTGTGGTTGCATTTGCAGAGAGTTTCAAAGTGTACGTATGCTTTTTGCCAGAGGAGCTAAAACATTACAATAGCATGAAAAGTACAAATTTCTCATTTCAAGGTTACAGTAAAGCCTGGTTTTAACTAACTAAATGGTTTCAAGCAATTTTTCCTCCTGAAATACAGTGTTTGTGTAATTGAATACTGAAGTGCTTATAAAAGGGATCTCTCAAGAAATTTTGTCTTCAACAAAAGATTGCCTTACATATTTAAAGATACTGGCAGATAAGTTGCATGGGCTTCAGGGGTTTATGTCTTTCTGAAATACGTTTGCAGTAACTCCTTCAGAGAAGATTTTATTTTCACCTTTCTGGAAAATAAAAAGTGTTAAGTACAAAATGCCAGCCCGAGGAACCATCCTGAATGAAGAGCAGCGCAACTGATTTTGTTCTGGGTGATTATAGTTGGAGCTCTTTCTGATTTTGTGTAGGATTCAGAAATGTGTATTACCTTTAATTCCACGTTGTTGAGTAGTCATATTTACGTATGCATTCAAAGAGAAGTTTGAGAGTTACTGACTGAGCAGTGTCATTACAGTTGGTGAAAACAAAATGCAAGCCACTCCCATCAGACTTAAATTGTGTTTTTAAAAGAAGTTGAGTTCCTGCTTGTTGTAAGAAGAATATTTCAGTTTATAGTGATAGTATGACACTTCTGAAGTACAAATACAGGAAGATTTCTGACACTGTGATTTCAACGCTCTTAGACTTGTGCATAGCTGTTGTTTTCTTGAGATTAAGATGTTCCTTTGAGCAGAATGCATGAACATGACACCACGTGGAAGTTTTTGCAGGCTTGTAACTGAAGTATTGTAAAAGAAATCACCTGTAGATCATTTAACACAGGTGTTTTAGGTTAATTTTGGAAGCACAAAACCCAGATCTGCACTGATTACTGATTCTTGTGGTGAAGTAGATACTGACTTAATTGGCAAATGTTGCCTTCTGTATGTACACACAAGGCAAATTTAGACTATGTGTAGCAGGACATATTCCAGTCTGCAAACATATTGTTTTAATTGAGTACGTGATTTTTTTTTTTTTTATTCAGTGTTAACTTTGGGGAATGCAATTTTAAATGGAAAACTGCTTCATATGTATATTATGTAGATATTAATTCATGTGAAAAAAACTAAAATGGGAACAGGACACTTTATGGAGGTTTCTATACACATACATCCCACTCTGTTTACAAGGTAAAGGTCCTTACTCTGAAAAGACTTCAGTTTGCCTTTGTGCCCGCTTTAACTGTGTCTCTGTAAACTGATGCAGCTGATCCACACAACCTGGTTTTGTTCCAGCAGGTGAGAAGTAGGGAGTGCTGAGTTTGGTAGTGCTCTGGAGCCTAATCACAAACAAAATAGAAAGAACCTGGAGTTCAAGTTTAAATTAAGCTTTTGGTTTGCATTTAATCAGTCTTTAAAGGCTAAAAAGAAAATACTGATGAACATAATTAGCCAGCTGTCTCCATTATGTGGGCATAGGGTCACATACGAGATTGTTTTGACATGAGTCAAATGAAAGTGTTGTGTAAAATTATGGTATTCCACAAATGTGTTAATTAACAACCTCCGGATGTACCAGACTGTGTAAAGTGACCAAGATGGCAAAATTGCCCAGGCTGATGATATTTTTCTGAGGCTCAAAGCTCTAAGTGTCAGAGACCTTTTGATTTCTTTGGACCACAGCTGCACAATGTCATGTGCAATTGTCAAATGTAGGATGAAAGAGTCTGTGGTCATGTGTGGAATATAGTTCCCAGCCCTCAGTGCTTCAGACTGCTGCTTGGTGCAAAGAGCCAGTCTGGAGTGGCATTTACTGGGTGTAAATCAGGAGCAGACCTCAGGCTCTTGCTACATCACCTGTGTGGTGCTAGGCTGGGAGAGCATCCCCATCAAGCACTCCTAGCATCTATTCTGTGACCAGCTACTCTGAAACAGAGGCAAAGCATAAGAAACAGCCAACGTAGTAAAATCATTTGTAAACAACTTTTTTTTTTAAAATAAAACAGCTGCTAATTGGCTCTAACTCCCAAAAATGTTTTATGGTCACAGGGTGAGTGGAATGACCTGCTTCTGATGTGATTAATTTTCACTGGCTATACTAGTGCATGATAGCCAAGATGCTTTGGTTTTCCCTGATGGAGAATAGCACTTGTGATAAATCCTTCATGAAAAGCGGCCACAGCCTCGCCCCTTCCACAATACAAAAGCTTTGGGTAGCAGTGGAGTTCCATGTCTCTAAACTTGTGCTTAGAACAAAGGTGACTCCCACCTATCAGCAGAGTAGAACTTGTAGATTGGAAGAAAAATCACCGCACAAGAAGAAAATAATAATAATAATTATAAAGCCATAATTGAATGTGTAGCTTTTTATGTAACTTAGTTTATAGCTGTGTCCTAAACTCCTGGGAGGAAAAAAAAAAACGCAATCATGTCTGCTATTCGGGCAGGAAGCCTGCATCCTCCCTTCCTGGGATCTCAGTCCATCCTTAGGATCAAAGACTCCTTTGTCAGGAGAATGCCTTAATCACCAGCAAGTTCTTTACAGGAAATGCAGATGTCCAGCTTGGATGAGCTGTCCGGCTAGGAACTTTTCCTTGTGCCTTTGCAGGTTTCAAATTGGTGACCTCTTCTCTGTAAGCCACAATGTGATCAGAGTAAGAGTTCTGGTTTTCTAACATGTCTTTTGAAGACAGTTAACCTAACTGTGCTGCTCCATCCAAGAATTATCTTACCTATGGATGAACATTCTCATGTCCATCTCCTGTGGGGAGCTAATTCAGTTGCTCAGCTGCACAGGTTGACTACTGAAGAGTAAATGACAACTCTAATGCAAACCCAGTTGTACCTGAGAGCACACACACACCAAAAAAAAAAGACAAAATGGGGCAGGGAGTTAAACTGCAAATACACTGTGTTTCAAAGACACGTAGCCCAGATTTTAAAAGCAGATAGGTATCAGTTAATTCATCTTAAAATGAGGATGAAGATTTTTGGCTCCCTAAGAACACAGGCGTCAGTTGATGCGTATATGTCCGTGTGCGTACAGGTGGCTTCCCAGAAATATTATTTTGTTGTCCTGAATGAATATGCAAAGTGGTAGGATTTAGACCGTTCCCACATGGTATTATTTTATTTCCATAAAACTTTATAATGGTAAAAAAGGCTATTCTCTTTTAATCTAAACAAAAAGCCAGTACAGTATTGTTTTGTTCAACTGCAACAGAGTTGTTGCTGTTACTTCAACCTTCAAATCATCGGTACTTACAAAGATGAAACTTGGGCAATAAAAACGTCAGGGAAATCTTCTGATTAAAATCTAGTTTATAACAAAAGGATGAAAAGAGGATGTTCATAGTTGATCAGATTGGATATTAGGAAAAAATTTTTTACCATGAGAGTTGTAGAACACTGGAACAGGTTGCCCAGAGAGGTGGTGGATGCTCCATCCCTGGAGACGTTCAAGGCCAGGTTGGACGAGGCCCTGAGCAACCTGATCTAGTTGGAGATATCCCTGTTCCTTGCAGGGGGGTTGGAACTAGATGACCTTTGAAGGTCCCTTCCAGCCCTAACCATTCTATGATTCTGTGATCATCACAAATTCTTGCCCAATGTCTGTAGTAAAAACATACTTCTGTAATAACTGTCGCAACTTGAGTGGCTTTCCAAATCCGTGAAATTAACCTGGGCACGTCGCCTGTCGCTGCTGTGATTAATGTGAACTCAGCATTCACGCCGAGTTCCATGGATGGAGAGGGCTCTGGCACGATGGTTCTGCAGGAGTTACAGCTGAAGCAAAGCTGAAGGGGTTTCCTACATACCAAGATTTATGATCCATACTTGGAAAAGATGTTGGTTTTATGAGATGCAAGGGATATTTAGGTAATGACTAATGGAGTTTTGGCTGGCGTGATGACGCCTTGCATACCTTCTGGAATCGTGTCAAGCAGGTTGGTGACATGAAGCCTCTTCTTGAAAGACTCTTGATACTTAAACCTCTCTGTAGATTGAGGCAATTAGTGCAGTGTATTAAAATGACCGATGGCACGCTGTTTTCCTTGCACTTTAAATTCTTAGAAGGAAGGGATTTGCTGCAGTTCCAATAAAGTCTGCGCTGTGGCTCAGAAATTGCCTGTCCTGTTTGTCTGGGAGACTGGCAGTGCTTTCCAGTTAGTGAATCCTCTTGTGTAAACAGTGGTTGTGAAGGGTTTTATTGGGTTTGCATAACCAAAAATGCAGTGGATGTTCCTTGTGAGGCAAAAGTTTAGATGTTTCAGCTTTGTGCTGGTCCGGTGTGATCAGAGTTTGCAGTTCAGGTGTGTTAGTTTCTAAATCAGCTACTGAATCACAGAATCACAGAACGGTTTGGGTTGGAAGGGACCTCAAAGATCATCTAGTTCCAGCCCCCCTGCCATGGGCAGGGCACCCTCCACTACACCAGAAGACGGTGGGACTCCTTTCTCTGTATTCCGTTAATTCTTTGCACTTGTGTTTGTCAGTGCAAAGGTGGTTTCAGCCATATGACAATGTTATATACTGAAAAAATTGAATTTATAGATCTGTCTGCCCAGTTTTGCTGTGATTAAAATCTGAGGCAAAATTCTCACTGATTTCTCTCTAGGAAACAAATCGAACTCTGATCTACCTACCGAGTTGTTTTCTGTTTGCTTCTATAGCTTCCTTGTTCCAGTTGTCTTCTGAGCACGTATTTTATTCACCTAGGAAGTTTTATTGCTGCAATGTGTTTGTGTGGATTTTTTTTGCCTGGTGTTTTTTTGGAACAAGCTACATCTTGCTCTAAAACCAAGACAAAAACTTATCTGATCAGTGTAATTATTAAGTATTATCAGGAAGGAGTCTGGTCGGAATATCTTGAACATAAAATGAAAATACTGTTAGCAACATGCTGTTAGTGTTGCTCTTAAAAATGCATGGCAGTGGTGTAAAGCAGATATTCTGGAGAGGTTGTGCTGGTGTTGGGGACAGGGGATGGTAAAGCCCTTTTTCCAGTGAGAAGGATGAGAAAACAGTGTATGGTAGAACTGGTGTGGGACACTGGAGAGCAAAATTCAGGTTCTTACTTTGCAGGGTGACCTTGGGCAAGGCTCATGGGCTTGAGCAGGAACCCATGAGCAGTGTAAGATGCTCGGATGATACACCAGTGGTGGCCATTTAGATGGCCAGCTGGATCCCACTTGGATCAATTTGTGTCTGAACAAATGTTCTGACTGCTTCTTGGTATTTCTATTTATCGAGAGATTAACTTCCACAAGAACAATTTATTTATTTTTTGGGTTACTTATTAATCTGTAATATATGCAGGAGTCCTGCCTTTTGGGTTTCCTCGTTGTTTTTGAGAGACTTGCTCTTTAGCATCTCCTAAGTAACTGGAAGCTCCACCAGCTCTCTGAACAGTTAATCCTGTAGAGATGCTTGAGTGTTTTTGTCCTGGCAAAAATGATGAGCAATTTCAAAGCCAGCACCCAGCCAAATACCCCATTTGTTGTGATCACCCTGAAAACTGTTTGTGTAGCAGATAATACAGCCAGAAAAACAAATGATTTCTTTAGCAGAAAGTTGAAGATTCCAGATTATTGACCCTAAATGGAAGGATTTTAATGGTTTAATGTGAGTTCTGATCTAAGCATGCCTGCAGTTGTATTCATAAGGCAAATATTGCAATAAACACACAAAACAGATGGAAAGTGAAATATACACAGAAGATACATTACTTTAAAAACAAACCAATGTTTGAACTGCAGATTTAGGGCTGAGAGATACCCTGGCTCAAACTTGATGAGTTTCTGGGGTGGTTTTGATCAGATTTTACTTACTGAGTAACTTGAGCTGAGGTGCCAGTTCTGCATCTTTGTTTCCCACAAAGCTGGAACTAGAAGTTTGAAACAAAATTTCCTTATATGTGCCAACGTCTGAAAGGAGATACGATTGCAGTGTCTCTCAGCAAGTTTTTGGGAGAAGAAAATAAAATAAAAAGAGCAGAAATCTGTTTTCTGGGTTTGTAGGTAGATGTCTGTCATAGTATCCATCACTCACATTGAGGAAGGTTGGTGGAGATAACAAGGACTCTTAGGTGTAAGAGCAGTCTCTGTGGTAGTGTAACTTGCTAGACTTGGTAACTTTTTGTGTCTATTTTGTTTCTGGTAGCATGACGGCCTTTCTGAAAAATGTTTTGCCTGTTAAGGTTGAGTGGGCTCATTTGAGAGTGAATAGTGGCTGGCTGCCTGATGCAGACGCCCCAGATCCCAGATTAAGGGGTGCCAAAGGACAACCGCTGACTTTTTTGTCCACTTGGAAATTGGTCCTTTTTTTTGCTCAGTTGCAAAGGAATTTTCCCATTCTTTGCCCAGCACAATTTGAAATGGAGAATGCAGTTAATTCACATTCCTGAAGGGCAATTGGATTCTGCTTCGAGCTTCTAATGCACACTGAAGCAACTAGAAGTCCCATAAAACAAAACCAGGATGACATTCTGCCCTCTAAGAATCCACCTCTTAGATAACAGAAGGTAACCCACAGATTAAATTCCCCATATAAGTAGTAATTACAATTTCAACTCATCATTTTAGGTGATGTTTTGGAGCATTCTGAAAAATTTGAATGCCCATTTTAAAAGCTTTTTTCAGTGATTTGCAGCTTCTCTGGTTTTAATATTTCACATTCACCCTGACATACTAATGTAACGGAAGATGGGCCAGGGATTGGAGTATTGGTTAGGAACTTTGTACCTTCGCATGTGCTGCTGCAGCCTTTGTGTATGACCATGGGTAATATTTATGCTGGCTCCACCTTAATTCCATGCCTAAAGTAGAGGAATCCTGTGTACTTTCATTTCTCTTCAGCCCTCCATGGCTCAGATGGGTAAGTCTTCTATAGACTTACCACAGGACATTTTTGTCCAGCTTTATTTTGTATATGAGGTGCTCCAGTTTCAGCCTGTAACAAAGGATTTCCCCTTTGCAGTTGCTCACTCCCTTCCCCTTACTCCATCTTGCCTTGCACCAGTGTGTTCACACGAGGCTGTGTTTGCACAAGCCCCAAAAAGCCAGGTTTATCTCTGCAGAGCTGTGCGTTGGAGAGCGAGAGGCCAAGTTCAGCATTGCTTCCAGTACTGCCCCTTGCCTGGCTAGGGGGCTGTTGTGCCAGAAGGCTCCAAAACATATCAGCAGAAATACCAAACTAAAAGGTGATGTTAGTAGCCAGCCCATCTGCTTTGGGTTGTCCGGAATATCCCCGATTTGTATTTCACAGAGTACCTCCTTACACCTACCTGATAGGCTGGAGTGCTCAAAGCTGTAGAAAACTTGGATTGATACTCTTCCAGTGAAGCCACGAGTCCAAGTGAACTGATTAATACTGTTAAACTTTAAAGGTTTAATCAAGATTTCTTTGGGATTACTATCCTAGAGCCTAAGATGTACCTTTCTCAGGAAAGCGTGCAAGTCTGGGAGCCCTGCCTGTCGTTTGAACATGCACAAGTTGAAAATCTGAGATCAGCCCGATTGCCAGTAATTGCCCTTCTGTAACACTGCCTTCCCCGTGTAAGACTGCAATAAAAAGTCCAGTATAAGGATGACCAATACAAAATTGCACCACAAATTTTTATTACACTCTGTAGTCCTACTGCTTCTGTGAAGGACTGTCGTTTTTAACTGTTCTAGCTTGTTCTGTCTCCTTGGGATGGGTGCGGAGGAGCCGGTGCAGCCTTGGCTCTGCAATGGTCTTGGGCCATTGTGCTCTGTTGGTGTAAAGGCAAGGGAGAGGTGAGTGTGGAGCATAAACGCTCAAAATAAAGAATATGAGAAAAGAAAAAGTCAATGGGTCATTCAGCTCTTTATATCAGCGTTTCGGTACCTGTTTGACTTTTGCTTGGAATCATTTACAGAATCATATTGAAAGTGGCCGAACGTGTGTGGGTCCAGACTAGAAGCAGCTGGAAACTGAGGGCAGCAGAGAGGGAAACCAAGTGTCTGCAGAGTGGGGAAGGAGCGTCGGTACAGCAGCAGTGTTATGGTGGAGATGCTATTCCGTATCAGCTGGTTCTCACCACGGGGCTTTCTGACCTTACTGGTGTCTGCCCTGGCATGGCACGGTGGCAAGGCTGCTTCTGCCTGTCTGCAAACACCCGGTGCCCAGAGGCAGCTGTTCTCTGCAAGAGTTGGTGTCTCTTATTTGCCTTTTGACATAGGCATTCGCAGCCTTTATTTTGCACTCTTGACAGATGGAAACTTGATTTAATTCACGAAGAATCTCGGGTTTTCCTTCAAGCTTTTAGGAGCTGGAGCTTGAAGATGGGCATCACGAAGCTGTGGTAGATGGCAGCATGGCAGATGTGCCAGCCCACACCACGGGCCGGGCTGCAGTGGGAGGCAGCGGGTTGCGCCGAGTGTCCAAAGGCTGCTCCGTCCTGGAGGCGCAGCCCGCGGGTCTTGGCAGTCAGTGTTCCAGTTAGTGAGATCGTGGTGGTGGTTTTTCACTGGCCGTTCTGGTTCGTATCTCTCTGTCGGTTTGAGAAGAGCTTTGCTCCATCTCAACCAGCCTTGCGGATGTGCAGCCGCTCCTCGTGACGCCTCGCCGGCGAGCAAGGGGCAGGCGTGCTGCACCGGGAGCCGCGCGTGCCGAAACCTGCGCGCTGTTGCTTTAAAAGGAGAGGGAAAAAAATTAAAAAAAAAAATCTCCTTTGTGGGCTGTGGAGAGAAAGTGCTAGAACGGTGCGGGATCATGACTGGAAAGCAGGATCCCTGAGTGGTCACGGAGGCTTTCCTGGTCCTCCCTCCCCAGCCTG